TTTCTAATTGTTAGGAAAGATGTTTAAAGAGAAGAAAATGATATAAATTAGCCAAAATGTCTAGGAAGGCTTCAAATTAAAAAGACTCATAAATATTTTATGTGTTGCTGCTACAAAAAATAAATGTTTTGTAGCTTTTAATGTGAAATTATCCTAACTACTGTTTAAGAATCAATGTTATGACATTGATATAAAACTGACAATTTAAAATTACATGTATTTTAAACTGTGAAATGTTATTAGATTGTGATTTTAATAATGGTCATGTAAATGTATAACGACTGGAGGTATTTAGCTACCTAATTTAATTATTTATAACTAAATGATCATCTTTAAAAGTTATCCATGCGTATTAAAGCAAGTTATTGCTTTTCACTAATCATTACTGTGGCCACAAGATATGGCATGAAAATATAAAAACTATTGTAAACTTATTCTTTGCATCTAGTGAGACTTAAAATAATACAAAACAACTTATCACCTCTGCTATATTAGTGGCTTATTGGAAACTTAAAATATATTAACCAGGTTACAATCCCAGAAACTCTATATGAAAGTACAACACTTGTAGAGACATTAGGATTTTTTTTAAACAGGAAAAAATGAAAAATGAACAAGCGCCTTCACCAAGAATCGAACTGCAGACCTCTGGAATACACGCCCAGCATGCAGACCACCACACCACAAAGGCATGTAAAGAAGGTGGGAAAAATACCTTATATACTCCCCCTTTTAAAGGGTGACTGGGGTTTTAGAGGACCCAATTGTCAAATCCTGGGTGAGGAGAATCATCATCCACCACCCTTTTAGTTTGGACGCCCCTGTAGAAACATTAGGTATTTTTTGGAAGGAGGAAAGAAGAAAAATATGCAAAGCCTTCGCCGGGAATCAAACCGCAGACCTCTTGAATACGAGCCGAGTGTGCAGATCACCACATCATGAAGACATGCCAAGAAATGCGGAAGAAATACCTTATACACTAATTGCTTCAGACAGACGAAGCACAAATAACTTCCAAAACTTGCCAGCCATGCCTCCAACAGGCTTTCATGTTTTTTTCTGATCAACAGGTCTCTCTCTCGGCAAGCAGTAGCACTAGCAACAGCTAATCTTCTGTTACAAATCATGCTGATTTTGATTTTATTTCTCATTTTAACCTATGCCATTTGACTTTAAATTTACCTGCTATTTACTAAACCTCTAGACTGAGTAAGTACATGGCAAAATGAGACATAAAAGAAAAAATCAGCATGAAGCTGTTAATAAAATGTAAATGAAATGTCCCCAATCTTCTTTCAAATATGTCCAACTATTATACATGCAAAATATTTAATGCTATTTGATAAATTTTATAATGTGGATTTCATTCTCAAATTTGTTTTATAGTTATGTTTAATAAGAATGCATCCTATTCAGTTCTACATCAGTGATATACCTTTTTAACATGCTGTTTATTTAAATGTCCCAGCCTTTCATGCAAGATTTGAAGAGAATATGTTTCACTTAACTACGCTTCAGGGTAACACGCAACACTACACTTAACTTTAGGAAACAAAGTTTTGCTTAAAAATTGAATAAATTACCTCAGCAAATTGTAACAGCAACAAAATTTTTGGGTTTCAAAAATTGACATTTATCATTTGACATATTAAACTCGCATCCATGATCTAGCATTTGCCTTACAGAAAGTAAATTCCTTGCAGCATCAGAGGCATACAGTACATTTTCCATGAAGCTGTTTCTCCTTGAACCCTGTACAAACATTTCAAGTGATGACAAAATATCCATAAGCTTTCATTGTTGCATTATTATCAGTTCTTTTATTGGACTCTTAAATTGTGTATATAATTGAAACCAGTCAATTTTGTTAGTAATATGTTGAGTAGCTCCAGTGTTGATTAACCATGCATTATTATAAGTCACCCATAAGTACTCCCCTATGTTGGACTTTTCATCATGGGTGACTGTCATGTAACTATTTTTCTGAGGTTTACAGTCCTTTATATAGTGATCCTTGTTACCACATTGAAAACATTTATACTGTTTTCTCTGTTTGTTCTTTCTCTGCTCTTCTGAAATTAGCAGTCTCTTCAACTCTAGCAAAATTTCTGTTCTTTTGGCCTTGCACACCAAGCCATTTTTAGTGGCTCAAATTCATTAGAGAGAGGTTCTAATAGTTTGCTCAGGATAACAATGCCATTAGGCTTAATGTTTAAATCATGCATTTGCAGCATCAAACATTCTAATGTTTCTATATGTATGGCCATTGTATCTGTAGGATTACACACAAATAATGAAAACTGCAACTGGCATGTATACTGTGCTTGTTTATTTTGCTGTTCAAGCAATTAATGCAGCTTTACCCATATTTCTGTTGCTGTTTTGCGTAGGGAAACTAAATCACAAATTGTTGAGCAATGTCCATGAAAAAATTCCACGAGCAGCACTATTACCCTTGTAAAACTTGACTATCTCTGCATTATACTTATTCCGGATTTCAAAGGGAGTACCTTTGGCAACCAGCTGTGGTTTGACTATTTTCCCAGAACACACTTTTAGAGCTCCTTGTTTCATAAGTAAACCTTCTACCACCCACTCCTATTCCACCCAGTTTTTTGTGAATGAAGTTTGTCTGTAGTAAATACTTCCATCCTTACAATGAAACTCATTTTCACTTCTGACAAATTCACACAGTCAGGCTTAGCAAAAAAATTTCTTAGAACGCAGGTAAAGTTATGCTGGCAGCCATAACCTCTTAAAGTACTACAGTCAAAAGTCGTTAATTCGGACACCCATAAACCGGAATGATCTATAATCCGGACCTCAAAGCTACAAACTTTCTGCGCATGCGTCGCATTGACGCATGCGCGTAAGACCTTTACGGCTGCGAATTTGCGTGTGGGCGTGCGCAAAATACGTTTACGAATGCGCGTTTAATGTGTAACGGACGGGATAAGCTAAGCTAAAATTATCTGATTATCTACTTCAGTTAATGTTGCAGATTGCGTTGTTCCTTAATCTTCGAAATGGATCCGGCTTATTATTTTTTGCAGACTGTTAGAGCAATTTTATAAAAGTAAGCTTGAACTTTCGATTATTTCAAATAGAATTTCCGATATTATTTACTAATATGTAAAGGATATACAAAGCGAAAGTATGTTTTCGGAGTCCATTAAACAAAAAGTGGAATTGCTGCAAAAATAAATAAAGGCATATCCTTTGTTTATCTAAACTTTAACGTTTTTTTATCTAAACATTGTTTATCTTTAGGCTTGCAATGAATTGGAAGTTGATCTGTCAGCACTGTCCTTATCTTAAGGGCAGATGTTTTTATTTTATTTGGCTTATAATTGCTTACTCAATGTAGTATTTCATCTCGATGTACTCCGTCTTTGATATGATTTAAATCAAATGCCTCGTCATTATAATCGCTTCCGATAGCGAAGAAAGTAACAGAGGTTATTGAAAACGAAAAATTTCGATTGACAAATTAGTCGGTATTCTCGGCACAGTAATTATAGGACTTGAACAGCGGAACTTTGTAACTGAACACGAAATTATGTCTGTTTTATAGAATTAAAGAGAATGTATTATCACATAAAAACGAAGCAACTTAAACAACTTACATTGAAAGAAATGTTTAATAAAGTAAACAAATAAATATTAAGCTTTTTTTTGTAAATTTTGATACCCTTTAGATCATAATTGTTCTTTATTTCGTAAATTAAGGTTTCATATTTTTAATTTTAGAATTTCTGCATGCCATTTTACCAGATTTAAACTGATGATCTATAATCCGGAATCGCCGAAGTCCCGACGAGTCCGGATTAACGACTTTTGACTGTATTATTAAGTCAGTGGTGATTGAATTTATTTAACATATAGTGACTAGAAAAGCATTTATTACCATCTGCAATGTGTGGTGCATTAATAAGAGGTAATGTTATGTCTCATTTTTAGAACGGTTTTTCCTAGCATTCTAAAAATGAAACGTAACATTACCTCTTGTAAGGATTACAGGATACATTAACAGGATAAAGCACATTCATCTCCCAAATATTACTGTAATTTTTTTATGCTCTTCTTCCCAAGTTTAGCATCGTGCAAACCTCAGTAACACTGATTATCTACCAAATGCATTTCCTCATAGTTCCCATTAAATGCTGCTGAATAAGTTATACAAAATTTGATTTAGCACATGCAAATAAATATTAATATAAGACAAAAGGTAAAGTACATTTCAGGGAAACAATATAAAATTCAAGTTCACAATATTAACATTGAATTAATATATTAACTTTATGTTGAAACTATTAACAGTGAACATTTCTTAAGAAACTTATTTTAAGTTTTCTAGTGGTCGTTCGACCCACGTTCAAATCCTGGTGAACAGGCTGGCTGCCTGGTTGTTTTCATGGTTTCCTCATGTCTAATGTAGATTCAAGCCTGTTTCTCTTACAAAGTCCTCCATAAAGGTATCCCTTCCCTTAGGCAGGCAACCTCTGTGTGGTTTGCCAATAATGAAACAAATTAAACCAAACTATTTTAAATTTTGAAATAAATCTATTAAAATTCCTCTATGCTAAAATAGCTGTAATAAATGTTTATTTTTCGAACATTGTAGTCTAATCAGCATGTAAAGATCTAGCTGTCTATGAAATGTTATTTTGTTGTAAATGTTTCATAATATGATTTTATTTCTTCCCTGTTAAATTATTAATGTGATGAATATTAGTAATATTTTTTAAAGTTTTTTTTATAATTGTTAGGAGAGAAAGTAAAGGAATCGTTATAAGGGTATGAAATACAAAATGCATGCATGCTTAGTTGAATGATCTGAAAAATGCAACTGATTGGAATTTCATCATATTAATGGCATTGTAAAATCTGAAGCTATTTTCTCAAATATCGCTTTAAAAGTTTAAGATTAACTTACTAACAAAGTTCTTAAATTACATTATTGTAATAATGAAGAAAATTTGACCTAATATTTTCTCCAGGAACAAAGAGATTTATAATCCAAAAGCTGAGCTGTCTTCTGTAACAGGAGAAATTGATCCCGATTTGGTTGAATTTGACAAAGTTTGTGCAAATATTTGTAGGGATTTGGTGGAGGAAGATAATGAATCCCTTGGAGATGCACTGGAGTGGTGTGAAAAGGTACTGTTGAATTTTAGAGTTGTATTGATATTATAAACTGTTTTTCAATTATTGGACAGAAAAACACAAACTATTCTGCTAATATTTAAATTTTATGTTTGAAGATAAGAATATTTTTATAGTGTTGAATTCTTGTTAATGCTTTTGTAGTATATATGCTGTATATATTTTTAAAAAAAACTGTAGAATACTAAAGGCTGTAAAAATTTGTTAGTCCAAAGGGATTTGAGTCCAGAAGGACTATTACTTTCGTTTTGAAGAAATTAAAAAATGAAAAATCTGCATAAATGTATGTATATTTCTCACATTGTGATAAAACAACGGTACCTAAAGCCATCAAATTTTAAATAACGTAATCCTCCAGCGAATATGGGCATCTGGATGCCCTAATTTGGAATTTGTTTTATTATCTATTTCATATTTTGTCAGACATTAAAGAATTTTTTATTAAGAAACTCAATGATTTCAAAGTGAGGAAGGGCAGCATTGTACCAAAAAACATTTTTATCTCCAGCATGTGTATCGGAAATTCTAAAGATATGCTCATTTTAAAATTATTTTGCGACGTTGCTATTGAACTAAATTTTATAATTTAAGTGCAAAGAACATGATATTTAATGAATAAAGTTAACACACAAAATGTTAAAAAAAGTCCCTTTAGATGTAATTTAAAATCTGAAACATTTCAGATTTTTTAAAAATATTTTTTATTGTTAATAAACTCATAAATTTTATTGTGAAACACAGTAAATTCATGCATGTGTTTTAGTTTTCAAATTATGCATTTTAAAATTCTTTAAATTAGATTTTTGAAAATTTATTAATAAAAACTTCATATAAAAATTGAGTACTTGCTTATTGATGCAATCAATTTAGCTCAGTATGACATTTTTCGGTACTATTTTATTTTGTGGAACGTAAAAAAATTGCAGTGAAAATGTATGCGCAAAAGCGACAAATCCAGCAAATGCACTGATTTCAGATTGCATAAGTTTATATACAGTACAAAATCTTTAATCCGGATGTCCATAATCCGAAATGATCTATAATCCGGACCTCAAAGCTACAAACTTTCTGTGCATGCGTAGCATTTACACATGCGCATAATACCTTTATGCATGCACATATGCATTTACGTGTGCACATAATACATTTATGCATGCACATTTAATGTATAACGGACATTATAAGCTAGGCTAAAATTATCTAATTATCTATTTCAGTTAATGTTGCAGATTGTGTTGTTCCTTAATCTTCTAATTGGATCCGGCTTATTATTTTTTGCAGACTGTTAGAGCAGTTTTATAAAAAAAAAAGCTTGAACTTTCGATTATGTCAAAAAGAATTTCGATTCTGGAGCTGCCAAAGGATCTACAAAGCGAAAGTATGTTTCTATGTTCATTAAAATCACAGATCTAAATAAATAAATAATTTTTACTTCCAAAACAGAATTATCTCACAGCTAAAGCATTGCCTTTGCAGAAAATCTTCTAAATGGAAATAGAATTGCATCCACATTACATGTGCAGAATCCCAATAATTCATTATAAACATAGTTCCAAACCATAGTTAAGCTTAGAACTCACAACAGTATTCTTCTTGGAAGTCTTCCTAAGGAAATGGTAGTATATTCAGGGGAACATGTGGGCAAAATCATGACAGTATATCACAAGCCTAATTCTTGACTGTTGAGAATAATCACACATACTCCCCGTTCTTGTTTTAATGTCATGTATTTTAACCGTAACTGTTTTATAGTTTTGCTTAGGTTGATCTGGCAACAGTTGTGGTGGTTCTTGGTCATGGTGTGATATGTAGAAACGTGCTGTGCCATGTGCGTGAAATTCCATCTTTTAATAAAGCCTCTACTTAATTATCATTGGCCTCTGATTAATTTTTTTTTAATCTTTACAGCAGAGCGTGGTTCTGATATTGAACACGCTAGAGGCGAAGCAGTATATTTGTTTTGTGGAACTTATTTGTTTGGAACGGAATCGCGCGTTAAGTGAAATTTGAAATGGCAGCACGTGACGAGAACACAAAGTATTGTGTTGAGCCGTTTAACGGTAAAAACTTTTCTCTGTTTAAGCGCTGTGTAGAAGCTGTGTTTGCAGCCAAAGAACTTGATAAATATTTAGACGTTGAAGCGGATGAAACGAAAGTTGCTGAAATCAAAGATGCAAAAAAGGCTTACGCATTGCTGCTAACCCTTCTAGATGATGCCATCCATATTGGCGACCATGTCGAGTGAATCTTCTGCATGTGAAATTTGGAGCAGTTTAAAGAATAAATACCATAAGGTGAGTGCAGTTAGTCAAATATTAGTACGAAAGAAATTATCGACACTGAAGAAACACCGAGATTGCAGTATGCAGTCACATATTAATGAACTGTTGGCTATCGTAAATGAACTGCGGCTTTCGGGTGCTGAAGTCAAAGATATGGATGTGATTATTTATTTGTTGATGTCGCTACCTTCTGAGTACGACATTATTAAATCGACGATTGAGAACCAGCCAAATGAAATGCTTACGCTGGACTTTGTTATGCAAAAGCTCTTGAATGCTGAAGAATTGCAAGGTGAGAGAAATTCTTGCAATTCTCGTATTTCTGGCTCAAGTAATAACGTAGCTTTTAGCGCTGATAAGCGTGATATCATCTGCCACAAATGTAAAAGTAAAGGTCATATTGCCAGGCTTTGCAAGAAAAAATTAGTTTGTTTTGGATGTGGATGCCCAGGGCATTACAGGAAGGATTGCAGATTTAAGCATAAATCAGATGATAGAGAATCGGCTGCTGTAACATTCATGGTTGGTGAGCCTGTTGGAAATTTCATTCTGGATTCTATAGCATCTACACACATGTGTAATAAAGGTGAGTGGTTTGAAGAAATTAAACCTTTTTCTGGAACTGTTGCATGTGCTTCAAAAAATGATGTTTTAAAGGTAGAAGGTATTGGTACAGTACCTGGAACATTAAATGGAAGAGAAATATTACTTAAAGATGTGTTATATGTGCCTGAGTTGAACGGTCAATTAATATCTGTGAAGAATATTCAAAAAGCAGGTTACAGTGTAATTTTTAAGAATGATGTAGCTGTTATTGAAAAGAGGAATGAAAAATTTAAGTTTGCTAAACTCAATGAGAAAGGACAGTATGTGAGTCAATTTGAACCTGTTAAAGCTTCAACATACATTGCAAATCATAGTGCAGAATTATGGCACAGGCGCATGGGGCACTCATCTGATAAAAAATGGAAAAAAAAATTAAAAGAAATGGGTTTGCCAGTATCTGAGTCACCATCAAACTTTTGTGAAGAGTGCATATTAGCAAAACATTCCAACACTCCTATGAACAAAAAGGTCCTAGAAGCAGAGAGCATGTGCCGATGAGAATGGTACACACTGACATATGTGGTCCCATTGATCCACCCACTAGGGAAGGTGAAAAGTATTTTGCTACAATCATAGACGATTTTTTCTAGATTTACTGAAGTGCATCTCTTAAAGCACAAAAGTGACATAAATGAAGTGTTTAAATTGTTCCTAAAGCAGAATTCCTGATGTCTATACAAAATTCGTGTGTGATAATGCCAAGGAATACGTGTCTGGTGAACTAGCTCGTTCATTGCAAGAAAAATGGTGTTATGATAGATCCTGCTCCTCCATATTCACCTCCTTTAAATGGTGTGGCTGAGAGAGCCAACAGATATCTTTTAGAGAGAAGGCCCGAGCTCTAATATGTGAAGCAAAGCTTTCTAAATCCTTCTGGGGCTATGCTGTACAGACAGCTGCATATCTTAAGAATAGAATTCCAAATCAGACTGTTGAAAATGTACCTTATAAGCTCAAATATGGGAAGCCGCCTGATTTGAATATTATTAAGGTGTTTGGATCTGATGCATACATGAGAGTTCCTGATAACTTAAGAAAAAAATTGGATCCAAAATCAAAAAAGATGATTTTTATTGGATACTCTACCATGGGTTATCGTTTACTGGACCCAGTCACAAATCATGTTGTGGTTTCTCGAAATGTATTGTTCAATGAAGAGAAAAAGAAATGTATCTCAGTTCAAGATGATTTTTCCATAGAAAGTAAAGATCCTGCTAAAGATGAGGTAGTATATGATTCAAGTGATGTAGAATCCAGAAATCTTGAAGAAAGTCATGAAGAAATTACTAGGCAAAGAAGAAATATAAAATTACCTGTAAAGTTGAATGATTACTTTGTGTATGAAGCTAATGTGGCAACTGTTGATACAGTAACATATGAGGATATAACATCATTGCCGACAGAAGAGCAAGTCCTGTGGAGGAAAGCCATGGATGAGGAAATAGCTTCTCTTAATAAAAATAAAGTGTGGGAGTTAGTCAACTTGCCAAAGGATGAAAAGCCAATATCCTGTAAATGGGGTGTTGCGCATCATCAAACAAAACAATGTTTACAAAGCTAGATTGGTTGCTCGTGGCTTTGAACAGAAGCCAGGTATTGATTACTTTGAGACCTATGCTCCTGTAAATTAGTACATCATCACTTCGACTTGTGCTGGCTATCATTGTTCAAAAGAATCTTGAAATCTATGCATTAGATGTAAAGACTGCATTTCTGAATGGTGATCTCCAAGAAACAATCTACATGGAACAACCAATGGGCTACAGTGACAACAGTGGTCGTGTGTGCAAGCTTCTTAAGAGTCTTTATGGACTTAAGCAAGCACCGAGGCAGTGGTTCAAGAGATTTACTGATTTTTATAATTAAACTGTTCAAAAGTCTGTAATCTTTCAACAACTTCAACACTAACTGTGAAGCATGTACTTTTGTAAAGAACTAAACAGAGTGAAATATTTATTGTGCTGTATGTGGATGACTTGCTTAATTGCTGGTTCTAATGATTCAGAGGTAAGAATTGTGATTGAATTAGTACTTAGAAATGAATTTGAGATGTCCAAGGCTGAAGTTGCAAATGAATTTCTTGGAATAAGTTTTGAATATTCACAGAACAAACTTACTTTAGGCCAAAAATCTTATGTTGAAAAATTGTTAAATAGATTTAGAATGTTAGATTGTAAGCCATCTGATACTCCTCTAGTGCCTAAGTCAACTTCATCATCAAATTTTGTGAATGGTGAAAGATTTCATGGCCTTTATCGTGAACTTGTAGGTGCTTTGCTGTACTCTATCTATGACAACTCGTCCTGATATTCTGTTTTCTGTGAACTGTCTGAGTCAGATACAAGAACAACCCACTAACAATGCTTGGGCTGGTCTGAAGCAAATTCTTCGATATTTAAAAGGGACATCTGAATTGAAATTATTATTTTGTAAATCTAATAGTGTTGATATTATGTTAAATGTTTATGTTGATGCTGATTGGGGGTCAGATACAAATGACAGAAAATCTATTTCAGGGTATATTATTTTCTTTAATGATTGTCCTGTAACTTGGTCTGTTAAAAAGCAAACATCTATTGCTCTGTCCTCTACTGAGGCATAAATTTTGACTTTAGCAAAAGCTATTCAAGACCTAACTGTATTTATAAATGTATCTAAAGAAATTTTAGGAGTCAACAATATTAAAGTTTCAGTTTATGAGGATAATCAGTCTGTAATTAAAGCAATATTGAATTAAAGTAATTGTGCTAGACTAAAACATTTGGATATTAAATTAAAGTATATTAGGGATATTGTAAAATTGTACGATATAAATCTTGTATATGTTTCTAGTGAAAATCAGTTAGCTGATTTGTTTACAAAATGCTTGCCTAAACCAAGATTGTGTTATTTAAGAGATAAATGTAAAATAATATGTGATTAAGGGAGGGTGTTGAGAATAATCACACGTACTCCCCGTTCTTGTTTTAATGTCATGTATTTTAACTGTAACTGTTTTATAATTTTTGCTTAGGTTGATCTGGCAACAGTTGTGGTGGTTCTTGGTCATGGTGAGAATGTGACAGAGAGGTTAGTGAAAACGAAAAAATTTCGATTGACAAGTTAGTCGGTATTCTCGGCACAGCAATTAACGGGACTTGAACAACGGAACTTTGTAACTGAACAAGAAATTATGTCTGTTTATAGAATTAAAAAGAAAGTATTATCACATAAAACGAAGCAACTTAAACAACTTACATTAAAAGAAATGTTTAATAAAGTAAACAAATAAATATTAAGTTTTTTTTTTTGTAGATTTTGATATCCTTTAGATCATAATCGTTCTTTATTTCATAAATTACGGTTTCATGTTTTTAATTTTAGAATTTCTGCATGCCATCTTACGAGATTTAAACTGATGATCTATAATCCGGAAAAATCGATAATCCGGAATCGCCGAAGTCCCGAGGAGTCCAGATTAACGACTTTTGACTGTATTTAAGTAAATTTCATTCCAAACCTGATTCTAACATTTTGATTCCAAAACTGACCTATTGCTTTATATTTCTGCCAAATTTAACGCAGCATAGTTTCTTAATTAGCGATTCTGCGTGTAAACAAATTTTTAGTATTGTAATGCTGCTGTAGTAGACCACCTTAAATCAAATTCCTCGTCATTATAAATATCACGAGTACACATCAAATAGTTTTCTGGTTGCAATTTTCTAATTTCGACTATGCGTAATATATGCTTTACGCATGCGCGCATTGAAAGAAATGTTTAATAAAGTAAAGAAATAAATATTAAGCTTTTTTTTTTTTTGTAAATTTTGATACCCTTTAGATCATAATTGCTCTTTATTTCATAAAATCATGGTTTCATATTTTTAATTTTATAATTTCTGCATGCTATCTTACCAGATTTCGGATTAAAGACTTTTGACTGTATTTGCTTAATTTTCTTTTACATTTCGTATTTGTAATTTTGTTTTCATGTGTATTGTATTTGTTTTCATGCTTATATGCTAAAATTTTAGTATTTGCATGTTTCATTTATTTCTATTAGTGTGCTATTCTTTATATTTATACATATTAATAATTAGTATATTAGGTACGTAACTTCAGACATTGAAGTCATTATATTAAAATGCTGATTTTATGTGAATTTTTTTGTAAAAGTAGGTTTAACTGCTGACAATGCGTAGGCCGGTGGCGGCATTGCGTTTCAGGGCGTTTGGTCCCGTGGCTGCCTTTGTTCTCCACACGCTGGTCCTCAAGAGTTGTTAAGTGCACATTTTTATTTTTGAAAATTAAAAAAAAAAATTTTCTCAAATGCCGCACACTTGCTATAACGGCATTCTATACTCCTAAGGCCAGAAATGGTGGCCATTTTCTTGCAGAGGCACGTGATAGGCAACCACTGTTACCTCCTGCGAGGAAAAAGACAATTTACATCCATGCTATACCGTGTGGGTGGTAATAAAAATGGTAAGATGGAGCAAGTTTGACAAATAATAAGCAGTTTATGGCAAAATACATATTTATTTATATGGCTGAGAATTTTCAGTGACATCCTGGTTACAATCTTTCATAACACCTAAACAAAATTATAGCAGTAACAGTTTCTCTGCCGTGAACAACTTTTTTTGTGCGCAGTTCTTTTTATGTCTTAGAAAATGCTAATCATCACTTGGATTCTAATGAGAATGTTTTTGGTTTTTGAAAAATTTTCTGATTTTTGTTAGACAGTTTATTGCTTTATTTAAGAAACATGCTTCATGGTGGTGGCGGGGGGAACAGTAGTTCGCTTGTTACGTTCTTGGCAAATGTAAAGGATACACTTACATAATGATGGTTAGTCTATATTTAAGGTGCCTCTTAGATTATTGCCAAGTTGTTGTTTCATTTATGGTAACCTGAGTTGTTGAATGCTATAGAAACCCAATTATGAAGTGATTGGTTGCATGATTGCGGTGAATTTGACTGATGGGAAAATATTTGTAAGGGCTTTTTTTCTGCATTGGATGTCAGTTAGAAAGTTGCTTATTTTGTGCTGTACACCATAAAATGTCTGTATGTGATGAGATTAATGAAATTTCCTGTACGATTTGGAACGAAAGGGAAAAAAGTATTAATTGACTGGTGTGTAAATGAAGGTTTGCTTAGTAGTCATTATAAGTGTCCTGTTTGTACATAGGAAATGCGTATGGTCGAATGTAAAGATCGTTCAGATAGCTTTGAATGGGTTTGTTACAAGAAAGGTTCATGCAGAAATGCCACTGACAGGCCGGCACTAGAGATGATATTTTTTACCCTTTTTTTGTGAATTTATGTGGTGATAGCAGTATGCATATTCTAGTTCAGGTAATTTTTTAAAGTTTTTGGATGCTGTTAAGGAATTTTGTGTGTCACAGACTGCAGACATGGAATTTCTAATATTGAAGGTTGATACTTCTTTTTTGTAGTGTGTATATGGAATAACATGCATTTCCTTTTTTTATGTTATTTCATTGTGTGATTTAAAATGCATTTTATTGAGCTTCAATTGGCTAAAAATTTTGTTCAGTTCTGGTGATAAGTAACTTTGTTTCAACATTATATGATGTCATCATTCTCCTGATTTTTTTAAAGTGAAAATAGATTGGTGTGTACATGGACAAAGTCAAAGGAGTGTGAAAAGCCAAGTTTGTGCAAGTCTCTGATGTTATTTTAAAAGACAATTTATCGATGTGTGCATGGACACTGAGTTTGTGCAATTCTTTGACTTGTTATTTTGGTTTTGTGTAGCTGCCATTTTGAAATTATGCCTTACTGGCAAATGACCAATTTTCATGAAGGGGCACCCTGAAATATATTTTGATGTAATTACTGTTTGAGCATAACTTCTCTTAAGAAGTTTCAATGGCAGACATGGGCAAAAATACCTTCAAATTTTCCTGTGATTCATTAACTTTGCTTTCTTTATATTTTTTGGTTGTGTTTTCTTGTATTCTTGAGTTTTACTTTCTTTATACTGCACTTATTGCTGAAAAAAAAATATGTTTAGAAATATATTATTGATTTAAAAAATATATTGGATACTTTTTGTGTATTTTACCCTTCTATTTATTTTCTATGATTTTTTCCATACTATATGATATAGCTTTATATATCTGTTTTATTAATAATTTTTTGTAATCAAGGAGATCTTGATTATGCCAATCAATTGCCATTAGGTATTCGGTTATCAATCCCCATTCAACCCTTTTGTCATTATCAACCTCTTTTAAAATTCCATCTACCCCAAGGAGTTTATATCAACCCCACTGAGAACTCCTGAGTCATACAAGTGGTTCCAGTTCAGTCAGCAGAGATCATTTCCTTCACCTCTTTATCATACTTGTCAGGATACAATTTGTGATATCCTGGCAAATCTGTGTTCATGTAGTGAATTTTTTTCTCTGCAGCAGCATTTATGCTGTTGAAAAATATGCATGACATAGGGAAATGTTCTATTCTTGTTTCATCATATTAAAATTTTTTATCTTGTTTTCATGTCATCAAAAATTTTGTTTGTGTTCTATTTAAGTTTTCCTTTGATAAATTTGATTTATTATGCACTTTAAATAGCTTTTCAGAGATATAATCTACATAGCAAGTTCTTTGCAAGAAACTGTTTTTATTCCCAATTTGTGACTATTTACATCTGTGCCATCTCTTGCCTAGTATAGTACAATCAATCTCATGTTCTTATTGCAGCATTGCATGTAATAGTGTTACTTTTTAAAACAAAATAAAGCCTACCAGCAGCCGAGCAGTACATATACTGAACTTTGGTATTCCAGTCTGGGGGTAGAATCCTGGTGAACAGCATGGGCATTTTCTTGGTTTTTCCCATGCATAATGTGTATACGAGTCAGTTTCTTCTAGAAAGAACTTAATGAAGGCATCCCTCTCTTTAGGCAGTTAACCCTTGAATGCTTGGCAGTAATCAAGTAAACAACAACAACAACAACAACAAAATAATAATAATAACATGAAATAAATGATTTTCTCTAGTGTGTTTATTTCAATTATAAGTTACTTATGCTTTTTTTATTTCAGGTTTTCAATTATAATGTAAGAACAGGGAAAAAGATTCGTGGGTTAGCTGTTTTGAAAGCTTTTAAATTTTTGTCACAAAATAAGTATTCAGCTGAAGATTTAAACTTAGCATGTATTTTAGGCTGGTGCATTGAAATGGTATGTATTTTACAAGTTTATGAAAAGTTATTGTATTGATCTGCTTTTTATGTAAACTAATTGTTAATAATTTGAGAATATACAGTTAATAGAATGTAAAATCTATAAATATGTCAAACACAGAATTAATTGACATAGGAGAAACTGGACGGAATTGAGAAATATAGCAATAGCAAAGGAAAGAGGCTTGCTAATTTTGATTCCGATTGTGAATTTTTCCTTCCTAGAGTTCAGTTGACATCATCAGATGAAATTAAATATTAACAAGATGTCAAATGGTGGAACTTAATAATTGTTAAAATTATACATATTAATTTATATTAATTGTATTTATGATGAATGTCAAAAGTTTTTGTGGAGTCATTTCTAACAGTGATATTTATTGCCTGACTTTTTTTTTTTTTTGTTGTTGTCTCATCTGCTTTGGGTATCAGGATAATAACACCAGCAGAATGCAGATGTATGAATAGTTATACCTAGACATGGAGATTAAAATTTGATGATTTCTTCATAATTTTTTTTTACTGTAGCCGTGCAGTGTTATTCCTAGTTGTTCCTAAATGTTAGAAAAGGTACTAATTATAAAATATTGGGAGTTGGGTTTTAATTTTAAAAATAAGCAGTGGAAAGGCTATTTTAGATATGTTATTTAAAAAATTTTACTTGACTGGTTATCACTTGAAACTTTATTAATAAGTTGTATGTTGATGTATGCTTTTAAACATGTAATTAAAATTAATAATCAAAATTTAATGATTCATTGCTATATCCTTCGAGAGTGTAAATTAGAAACATTGTGAATGGATGATTAATTATAAATGGTTTAAAATTAATTTGGGTGATCTCTTGGGTGGTGTTCCCAATATCTCAAATTCCCAAAAGTGTTATTAAATTTGTGTTGTTTGCTTTTCTTGTGATATATAAATTTAATAAAAATTATTTATTCCATATGACTTGCGTTTGGACTTCTTTAAGAATTAACGGGTAAAATCTTCTGTGCCTATAATTTCCATCCTAATCAAACTGGATTTAATAGGCCCATTAAAAAGCTCATCCTATTTGTCAATTTTTGTGCTGATGGAAGTTGATAACTTTGAAATGGAACTTATTGAACTAACATCTTTAGAATTATGGAAAGAAAGATTTAAGGAATTACAAAAAAAAAAAAAAAAAAAAAAAAAAAAAAATCTGGAAGATAACTCAATGATAAATCAACAGTTATTTTAAATTGCTGGATGTTAATGCCGGAGAGATTTAATTGTTTCAAGAAAAATGCACATGCTTTGCTTTCTGCTTTTGGTTCCACATATCTATATGAACAAATCTTTTCTCACGTGAAAAATATTTTGAGTCCACAAAGAAATTGTTTAACAACTGAATATTCTGAATCATAAGTGATATTGAGTCACAAATTGTACACCTGATATTGAGATATTAAGTACAACGGTACAGAGATAAGATTTGCTTAACATTTTAATATTTTATGTAACTATACTTATATTTTATGTTGTTTATTTTTATTTTATTAAATATGTTTAAAAGGTACATAATGTATGTGCAGTTTTAATTATTTATGTTGAAGGAATAGTTATGTTGTTTATTTTTATGTAAATAAATATCTTTAAATGATGCAGAATTGGTATATAATAAAACTCTAAATCTGTGGTTGTTGTCCTCTATTCCTTAACTCTGCATGCATTGGTACAAGAATAAAATTGTTTCATAATTTTGTTTCAAATATTTCCTACTGTGCGGCATCCTGAATCATATTGGTAGATTGGTTTAGCACACCAACAGCAACAAGGTTGCTGACTTCTGATCTAGACAGACTCTGACATCTCGGGAAAAATTAACAGTCTGAACCATTGTTTATTTGGTGGTAGGTTCAGGCTCAGCAGGGACCATATGGTACTATCTTGTCTGCCCCTTGGTTGTGGGGATGCTACATGGTTTGATATCGGTGGTTGTTCTTGAGGGGTTTGGCTCTCCTTGGTCAACAGTGGGGGGGCAGTTGATATCAAACAAGCATTCCATTTTAGGTGGATGTGTAGCCATCCATCATTGACGACTTTGTGTACTATAACCCAGACTTTGTAAAGCAAAAATTATCTTCCTGGGTTGACCAGGGGGTTTATGCCCCTTTGGATCACCTCTAGGGGTCTGGGCAATTAGCTGTGTAAGGCTGCCTTGAGCAATGCGAGGTCTGAGTGCCCTTTCTAGTGCACTATCCCTTCCCGTTTTTAATCAGAACAGCTGTATGGAGATGGATTGCTATAATTCATAGCTTATGCACTTGAGTTGTTAGGTTAAAATTTTAGGATGTTATATTTTGTATAACCTTTCCTATATCGTCTTTTAAGCTCCTTTTCTACTATTCTTATTAATCCAAAAGCCATTTTTCTTTTAAATATAAGTACTAATGATTAATATTAAAACACATTCTACAAATGAAGTGGCATACTACAATGAAGTGGAACCTATTGAACTGTGGAGTGATTTATCACTGAGTTCACATGTATAACAAAAAAATCTAGAAAAGTGTTAAAATAACCTTTTCACTCAAAGAAATATTTACAGACGGCACCTTCTCGGGCGTACAAGAAAGTCTGCACTCGGGCTTCAAGATAAGAAAAATAAGAAACTAATGCTAAACTAAACTGATTTAGCCAAAGATAGATACAAGTACCTAATGTAGTTGTCCCTTAATTTAATTTAGTGGGTGATTATCAACGGGCACATACAATGCGGCCGAGGGTAGTAGGTTTAATAGCGAAGTAGTCGGACAGCAAACACATGCCACCAAGGACTTCTAAGCTCTCCTACTGAAGTAATCTGAACTTCCTTAAATACTACTTCTACCTACCTCATTTATATTCAGCATGATTCTAAAAACTCATTCTGGTAGGGAGCTGTAAGTGGGAAACAAGAATTAATAGGAAAGGGTTTCAGAATTAAAAATAACTGTTATAAAATTAAAATACACCTTATAAGATCATGTCAGAACTTGATGCAAAATAAATACCTGTTGCCCAGAATTCTACATAATAACTTTCTTTTGTATTTGTTTAGATTTAGTTATGCAGGATATACTAAAAAAAGTATCATTTTTAGGATATCCTACGTAGTTAAATCTGAACAAATGCAATTTAGTTTATATGATCATAAATCCTATGATATAAATGGTATAAGTAAATATCTTGTCTTATTTAAATTCATGAAATTTTTACATGTATTTGGCATGGGTACCATTTCTCATAGGAACAGTGCTTATTCATGTTCATTCTAGAATGGTAGTATTATTAATTTTTGCCTGCATATTTTCTTTTTTAGGTATCTAGTAGTTTCAGCATTTGTGATTTAAATGTTGTCCATAACCTTTCGATGATCATCAATGAGCCTAGCTCGCATTACAGTTACGCTACAGTGGGTGCAGACAAATACAGAACGCAATACAAATTTGTAACAAAGATATCACACATATTTGGGAAGAGAGAATTTTTTAATCTCTCTGTCACCAAATGGTTAATTAATCCAGGGAGAAGGAAGGAGTTTACGCCAGGTGAACAAACGAATGCAATCCTTATTGTGTTTCAAATCATATTTCTATTTCTACCCATTTCATTCACCTTCCTAGCAGGAAAGAATATTTGTCTACACAGACATTTATTCAATTTACAAATCCCAAAAATTTTAATGTTATTGGTTAAATGTTATTTTGAGTTAAATGTTATGATCATTTAAAATTGGTTCCACCTTTTCTCACACCTTATGTTTAGGGAAAAAATTATGAATGAACTGGTGTATTAGTAACTTCTTTATATGAATTTTCATTTATTCTGTAATGATTGGACACTGACAAGCTTTTAAATAGCAAAAATAGAGTAAATCGAATTGATGTAAAGTGGATTAATTAATTTCTGGATCACAGATGATTGCTTCTTTAAACTTTACAACAACACTTTGTGGACAAGTTTATAACCCAAAATCATATCAAAAGGGTGCATAACTAAAAAAGGAAATAATTAAATACAAAGCCAAAAAGATATTCAATATTAAACAGATGAAATAGACAGAAAATCTAATTTGCTGCACTTTATGAAGGAGAGTAGATGCGATAAGTAGAAAATTATCAGGAAGATATTACTCAGATGTGAAATTTCCTTTCATGTAACTGCCTAGATAGTGCCTCTTTAAAATTTTCAAGCATCACTGTGAGTGAGCCTCTGTTTCACTCAAAATTTGTTTTATGTGCCTGCACTTTAAAATGTTTCTGAAGTGAGACAGGACATTATCATTGAAAATGTTTGTTATAACTTGGTACTGTTTTATGAGGGTGATACCATTCCATGAAAACTTTGTCTCTTACTCCATTTCTCGCAAATCCCGTGAAGCAGCTAATGTTACTTTTCTTTCCTCCTCATATTTTTAAGTCATTTCTTCTACAATCACCTTTTGCTGCTGCTTTTGGAATTGTTATTTCTTGTTGAGTTCATTTTTATGGTTCTCTAGTAATTCCCTCTCATCTTCATTGTTAATTTCCTGCCTCATAGTTTTATGTAAAGCCACAGTATCATAGGTAACAAAATTCCTGAGTCTCAAAGGCCTTTGAAAACTTCTGAAATTGTTTGGCAGTTTCCTCCGGGCTGAATTTGTAGTTTTAAGTCACTAGCTGCAAGGCTTCATTAATTCCTTTTTCGGAAAATGTTTAAACATTTCTAGAAGCCCCAGAATATTAATTCTGGGCCAGACGTTACCTAAAAACACATTTGAAAATTATACAGGGTGTTTCAGAACTCCATGTACAAACTTGGAGAGGAGGTCTACTACAACTAGAAAAGCAGGGACCTAAATGGATAGCTAGCGCTGTGAGTGAGCTCTCAAGGTCAGCATACGTGTTTCCTCATTGCATCTGGCGACCGAGTGAGGTAAACTTGCATTATTTTACTGATGCCAAGTTAATATTCATTTTGTGTATGGAAACTGCTAATGGAAATGGATCCATCTACTATACATCTGATTTAAGAAAGATTTCCAACAAGGAAATCCACATCACCAAATTTCACTCATGTGCATCAGAACTTGTGTGAATGTAGATTGTATTGACTACTAATGCATGACACCTGCCAGGTGCGATCAACACAAATAACCAACTTGAAAGAGGATCTGTCGGATGCTGCGAACCAAAATCCCGGCACCAGTGTACGTGCACTTGCCATTGCAACAAATGCATCTTCATCAACTGTGTGGCACTTTGTGTGCAACAAAGGCTTACATCCTTTTCATCTTCAGAGAGTCCAAGCAGTGTAAGGTGGAAGATTATCCACGACATTTTGTGTTTGCACAACGATTTCTATAAAAATGTTTGCCCGAAGACACATCCCATGTTCTCTTTTGTTCACTGATGAAGCATCCTTTACACATGAGGAGGTGAGGGTGTTGTTCTGTACCCACAGCATGCACATATGTGCTGTAGACAATCTACACAGTATGAGACCAGGTGCCACACAACAGCACTTTGCTGTTAGCATGTGGGCTGGAATCATTGCTGACTGTTTGGTCAGCCCATACATCTTACCACCTCAAATGAACACTTGCAAGTATCTCATTTTTTCTGGAAGAGGTCTTTCCAGAATTGTTGACAGATGTTCCTGCACAAATTACATGCTGAATGTGATTTCAACACGATGAGGCTCCATCTCATTTTGGAATTTCCATACATGACCATCTGGACTGGGCATCTGGAAGTAGATAGGTTGCGTGTGGTGGTCCTGCCACATGGCTCCAAGATCACCTGATTTATCACCTCTTGATTTTTATTTCTAAGGTGCCAGCCATAAAGGTACTCTGCAAAATGCCAGCAGATTTTGAAATGGCCCATGTTACAAGAATCGCCATCACTGCTGCTTCTAAACTGCTAAACGTTCAGTATTTTTGAACATGTTAACTAAATCATGCAGTGGTGTCAGTAGTGCATTAATGCCGATGGCCGGAATTTCAAAGAGCTCCTGTAATGTTTCTATTATACTTTTTTTTTTTTTGTCAAATAAAGCCTTGGTACTGCTTTCTGTATTATGGCCTTGCTTTATCTTTATATCTCTGTATTATCTGAGGGTGGATCTCGGACTCTGCTTTCCTATATAATTCTTACTGATGTGTTCAACCTCCCTTTCAAGTTTGTATGTGAAGTACTGAAACACCCTGTATATTGCTGACTTAGTATTCAGAACTTGAAATATCGTTTGTCATTTGTGGCTTTTCTGTTCATGAACCAAACTGTTTGTGAAGTAAGATGTTCATGATCTGAGGTTTCACTGTATGTTTCTATAAGCTTTATATAAGTAGATGCAAAAAGCCTTCTAAGTAAAAGTAATACAGGTACTGTTAACAATAACTTAAGCTAAGTACATGCAACGAATGAAATTGTCATGAAATTATGCATATATAATGTAGACAAAAATAGAATATATAAATTACTTTAATTTTAAATGAAGTATATAGAGATTGCATAGTGTTGCCCCTATGTAAAAATATACATTCAATTGCCCATTTTTTCATTGCTCAGGTTCTGATACTTGATATTTTCACTTTCACACACTACACTCAGTTTTAATTATGCTGTTCCTGCTTTTTCACAAATGGATGTCCTGCATGTGTAGCACATACACACAAACATATTTTTATTGCATATTTCAGTTTGGCACTGTGCAAAAAAGTTTAATTTTAAGTCTTAAAACTTGAGAAACAGAGAATAGAACGCACTTGATAGCTGTATGTTTTCATTTTTGGAAAGTTCTTTGGAAAGTTGCAGTAACAAATCTATTTTAAGAATTGTGCTTCCCATAGCTCCTTGGTACATAATATAAGTATTGTTTGCAGCTAAATCTGGAATATTATAGAACATGTGCTGTATCCGCATGGGACGAATAACTGTAACAAATATGCAACTTTCATTTTCCATATTTCTCTTTGGATATTAGTATTATGCCAGATTTTGCGAATATATTTTTGTGTTGGAAATGTATTGAGGTATATTTATTTACAATATAGCTCAAAACATTTTTAACATCTCTTGCAAATACTTCATTCTTTGATGTCTCCACATCGGAAGAATTTCTGTGATGCCAAATTCCTTTATTTTTGTCATTCTTTTTCAGTTATTCTTTGTTAGAATATTTGCATGGTAAGTTTTGGGGACCCCCTTTTTTAACTCACTTTAACCTGAAGCTGAGTTTATTCTGTTTTTCTATCATCTTTAGGATCATTATGAGATATTTCAAATTTCTGCAGAACAAAAATCTTCATTTTCCTTGAATATTTCTTCAGATTTATTTTTGTCTAATTCACTTAAATATTACGCAATGTATTCACTTGTGAGGTGTCTACTATGAGCTATATTCATTTCTGTGATGAAGAATATCAAAAGAATATTTCCCATAGTTCCATGAATCCTTTCTCTTGTGACTGATCACAAGAAAAATGTGATTTCAAGGTCCAACTTTCAGATGCGGGAGAGAAGATGCATAGAACTACTTACATGAAAATATTTTTTAAGGAATCATTTTAAAATTTTCTGCTTGTTTCCTATGGTGCTATCAAAATGATGGTTCTAAACTAAAACATATTTTGTAAAAGTGTGTATCACATAAAGTTAGGAAAAATCACAAAACTTCAGGAGCCTCAGCCTACAAATAAAGACATAGCACTCAAGAATAAATCTTAAACAATTAAAATGATGATGGTCATCTTTTTAGTGTTTTTTAAAAAAAGGAAGTGTTTTTGAATATGGTGTAACAATACCCTGATGATGAATAGTCAAATAGAGAAGTCAAATAACTCATATCAAATGAAATTTATACATTTGGTTATAACCATTTAAATGCTTATAAATCTATTTTTATATAAATGGTTGTATAATTTGATAAATGTTGGGAACCTTGTACACTTTTGTTGTGTCTTTTAATGGTTGCACATATCAATTCGTTTTTCATTAAAAATGCTTGAAATATTCTTTTTAATATAGCTTCAAGCTTTTTTTATAATTACGGATGATGTTATGGATGAGTCTACGATGAGGAGAGGAAAAATATGCTGGTATCAAAAGGTAAGTTAATGAAAAAATTTTTGAAGATAGGTTAATAGTGATATAAAATCTTTTTTTTTAGTGGGGTTGTTAAAATAGGTAAGATTTGACATCATGTTAATGAAAGTGTATTTTTTTTTTTTTTGTATTTTATGCTTGTATTATTAAACTTATTTCAAACTGTATTTTAACTTCATATTTTTTTCTTTTAATATGTAGTGCTTTAGCTATTGTTCAATGTTTTTTAAAATACTTTTTACCATAAATTATTTTATCTTTTAAGCTTATTAGTAGAAAATGGAATGTGAAAATGATTGGAAACTTGCAGTTCATTATTCCAAAAGTGTTAACCATTTCCTGAGGTTATTACATATTATGGTATATGTGCTAACAGCAATAAGCAAAATGCTTTAAAAATAATTCATTGTTATGCATTAATAATTATTCTTTAATCTGAATGATGATTTCCAAAAGCATCTATGCTTAAAGGTAAAGGAAATTGAAATTTATATAGAATTCTTCGGTCTATCGAGGAAATTGCTGTATTTGGAAATCTTAATATTTTAAAGGTTGCACTTTTATGGTTTTCTATAACTGATATTTTAAAATTTTTAGTTATGAAGGAGTTGGTTATATGAAGTCCAGAATATTCAAGAAAATATGGTTGACTTTTAGAAATATAATCCCAAATAGCACATGATGTTGCAAACTGGTCCGAGAGGTTGCAAAGTGGTCGTGGTAACTTTTGAGACGTCTTTACAACGTTACGAAGACACGAAATATTTGCTGTTGCATCTTGGCAATTTTTCGACATCACTGAAATGTCATGATATGACTCCTTTTAGATGTAGTCGTTTTAGCATTTTTTTTAGTTCATCAGCATTACTTTTAGAATGAAAAGAGACTAAAATCTGCCCTTTCAAGAATCTGAAGTTCGCATAAGATTTACTTTGCAGTGTTTCATTACTTTATTTCATCTAAGGTGGATTCATTTAATGAAATGTAAATTTAATATAAATACTTTTGATTTATTAAATTTAATTAGTACTAAAAATATATGCTAAATAATTGTTTAAAATTTTGCTAAAATAATTAATACTTAAAATATTCTTATAAATATTATAGCAAAATATTTAAAAATGAAACTAATCTATAAAGCAAGTTATTAAGTTATGCATTTTATATGCTTTAAAAAATTATATTCCAAAATCAATCCAAATCACATGTTAGCAATTATTTCACTACTGAAATATGACTTTATTTATTATTTTTGAAGTAAGGACGAATTTATCTGAATTAATATGGTGACATTATATGAAACATTTTACCACATACAGTGCAAAAAGTACAATTTTCGTGAAGATATGATTGTGCATTCATGAATAAAAATAAGGCGATTTTAAGAATTCCGAGAAAACGTCCAATGTTAAAAGACAATGCTGTCTAATATATATGACGGAAAACTCATGGACACTCAGGAGAAGCAGACCTGTACATTATATGCTTATATAAACGAACATCTCGAGATTTGCGTGCTTTGGCTAGGTGCCAAATTCAAAGTAACTGCGCAATTAATTGAGCGTCTATCAGTTCTTTCAAGTAATCTGGTAAAAATGCCATCTGTAAAGCATTTGAAAAGACTGACATATGTTTGAAATTGAATCAAGCAATGACTGATATAAATAATATTGCTTATATTAAAAGTAAATGTAATGCACTGTCAATCAAGAAATACATTGTGAATCTTCTCATTGTTCTGTATCTACTTAAACACAACTAGTTACTTTCAAACACAACTAGTTCATGTTTTTTCTTAAATAGTGCTGTCATGTATGTTGTTTGTTAGGTTATTATTTCATTTTAGATATTAATATGGGAAGTTATTAGATTTAGGTATATTTTTGAATGAAATATTTTTGATCACATTTATTAACTACTTTATACTGTCTTGTCCTGTTCAACTGCCTTCAGCGAGTGAAATTTAATTGCTGTGAGCTCCTGCTTGGAAGCCTCTGAATTTAGGAGAAATTATGGTGAGAATGCTGAATTTGTGCTTATTTTGTTTGTGAGTATCTGCTCTACAAGAAATGCTACAATGATAATTGGGAATCTAGTGTTCGTGAAATAGTGTCTCTGTGGTCTGTGGAATATAGTGTTTGTGAAATAGTGTTTCTGTGGTCTATAGTGGTCTGTGGAATATAGTGTTCATGAAGTAGCGTCTCTATGGAAATAATGTCCGTCTCCAATCACTGTGGTTCTAGCAGTGCCATATTTGGATACCCTTATTAGCTTTCTGCTTCAGTTGTAACGACCTAAGTGCTGTATCGTATATCATTCATATTAATCGATTATTGTGTTCATATTGAAAGATTGATTCTCAGAATTAATTTGTATAAAACCAAAAATAACATACAATGGTAAGGCACTTTCTGGTTTTGCTAAAAATGCAGTCTCTACAGAAGCAACAATAATTCAAGCTGTTATGGTATGCTCATCATTTTCAAAATACAAAGAAATTATTGGACTGGTACCAGTACTTAATATGACTGCTGAAGATGAATTAGATATATGTAATAGCAAGAAGCAGTATTAATAATTAAATTAATAATAATGCACATTTTATAAGTATGTTGTATTTTGAATAGTATGCAGAAAAGGTTAATGATTCTAAACACTTTATGAAATGTATGATCGAAAAAATAGTGTAAAGGAAACATTAGCATTTCTATGAAATATTGTAATCTATAATTATGTGATATTTAATTGTGTAATATTAAAAAACACTAAATATTTTTTATTGATTGTAAATTGCAGTTTAATTACTTTTCGTTTGGTATCATCTATTCTTCCAAACACTGGGCAATTCCTGTTTTTTCAAATATTGCCGTTATGTATGTTTATTAGATTATCTCAATAAATGAATGTTGGAAATTAAGTTTTATTAAATTTAAGTATATTCTATTTTCTTCGCTTACTTTTAATGTGCTTGTGATAACAAAGAAATTCATAATAAATAGAAACAAAAAGTTTCATCGTTTGCTATTTAATGAAGAGCTTACTTTAACGTGCTCAGCTTAATATCATATACTATATCATTTCAGTTATTTATATACAGTAACAAAAGGAAAGTTATTGATTATAAAAAGTGCATGAAATAATCATTGTAATCTATCACTATTCTAAAATGTAGAAACTAAAAATAAGTAAATACATTAGCATATGATAGAAAGAAATGGTGTTAAGAAACATCATCATTACTAGTAAACACTGCAATCCATAATTATTGCACTTTTAATTACTTACTATTTAAAAACACAAATATTTTTTTTATTAATTGGAAAGTTTAGTTTTGTTACCTTCCTTCTGCTATTTATACTTTCAAACACAACTAGTTCATGTTTTTTCTTAAATAGTGCTGTCATGTATGTTGTTTGTTAGGTTATTATTTCATTTTAGATATTAATATGGGAAGTTATTAGATTTAGGTATATTTTTGAATGAAATATTTTTGATCACATTTATTAACTACTTTATACTGTCTTTCAGTTGCATATCTTGGAGATATAAAAGTTAATGGTTATATTTTTTACTGTGAAGCGCAAATAAATTTATACTTGAGTTCAGGTAAAATACTGATTATGTTACCTTAAGAACCGCTTTCTAATTTATCATGACGGGCAATATTCAATATCTCTGAGATTTAACAGAAAGAAATGTGATAATGCTGTTGTTATCAGAAACGCTCTTCTTTTTACCCCCATATATATCTTTACTGTTATTTATGTCTAATTGAGTTTTATTTACTTAAAACCTACTATTAATATTATATATTTATAATAACCACTTTCATAATTACTCACTTAAGAAAAAAAATGATGAAATCTTAAATAATCGTAACTTAGAATTTAAGCTATTTAGAAAATATAGTTTAAAGTACTGAAAATAATTAAAGCTATTATTAATTATGCATATTTAGTCTAAAGAGAAAAATTGTATTATCTTCTGGTTTTCAGGAAAGGATATAATATTTAAACGTTAGAAAAATACACGGAATACAAAATTTAAAAAAAGAAGAAAGATATATTAATTATTAAGCTTATTTTTCTGCATAAATCAATATTTAACACAAGGACATGACATTTTCACAATTGTTGCAAAAAGGTGGAATTTTGTGAACATTTAGGCATCATTAAGACGTTGTGATATGATGCTTTCACAACCAAAATATTACCTGCAAAAAATGCAATAACAGCGTCTATGCGAGAAAAACCTTATCTGCAAAGACATAATAAAGATGTCTTTGCAACGGTTGCAAAACGGTGAAGTTTAGCGGACATCTGAGCGTCTTAAAGACGACATATTACAGCGTTTTTGTGACGACATCTGCGACCAGTTTGAAAGTCATTACGACGTTGCTGTGCTACTTATAAGTTGGATAAGTACTTTTCATCTTTTTTAGTGTGTAAGCCAAGACTGGACCATTCCAAGATCTAGCATTAGACATAATGTGCTGTCCTTTGGTCAGTCATCTGCTAATCATATGTGCTTAAGGGCAGAGTAGCTGGTAGAATAAATGATATTGCAACTGAATGAATTAAGTGTATGCACTGACTGTTTGCTGCATGTAAGTTTGTCCTAGATTATTAGTTAAAGATATAAGTTTGTTTTAGAGTATTCAGCAAGCAATTAACCCTCTGTATGTTACAGGTTTAGCCCTGAAATTTCGGAGTTCCTCAAAATGTCATGAATAAGTGGTATTTTCTTGATTATAATTAAAAAATGACTTTATCACTTTGTACCTTGATTCCTTTTTTTCCCAATATACATCCAACTGGAAGTCAAATACATTAAAATCTAGCAGAAATTTTCATGTGTAATGATACAAAAGCCCACATTCTATAGGGAATTTTCCATCCATAACGCAGAGAGAGTTATACATTACAATGTAAAGTTGAAAATAACTCATTAAGTAATTTAAACAGCATTGTGCAAAGGAAACCAATTCATAGTGCATTCATATT